TGCCAGGAGCCCACCAAGCTGGCCAAAGTTGGCTCGAAGCTGGCCCAAGACTGCCCAAGAGGCCCCCAAGAGGATCCAGGAAGGCCAGAAGAGGCGAAAAACATTGATTTTCCTTTGGTATTTGGCGAATTGTGACATGTCCTTCTTTTCTGCCTTCCGACGGCCCGAGACGGCTCAAGAGCCCCCAAAGATCGCCGAAAGATCGCCCAAGAGGCCTCCAAGATGGCCGCAGAACGGCCCAAGAGGGTCACAAGACGGCCTCAAGAGGCACCCAAGACGGGCCCAAGAGGCCTTTAAGTCGCCCAAGATGGCATCCAAGACGGCCCTGGAGCATTCCAAGAGGGCCCCAAGTCGGCCCATAGAGGCCCCCCAAACGACTTCCGACGGCGTCAGACAGACCAGAAGCCCACCAAGACGGCCGAACATGGCCGTAAGATGGCCCAAGACGGCCCAAGAGGCCTCCAAGAGGGCCTCCAGGAAAGCCCGGAAAGGCCAAAATCATTGATTTTCCATGTGTTTTTAAAGGAGTATGGCATTTGCTCTTTTTCTGCCTTCCGACGGCCCGAGACGGCCCAAGTGCCCCCAAGACACGGCCCCAAGAGGCCACCAAGACGGCCCAAGAGGTCTCCAAGACGCTCAAGATGGCCTCCAAGACGGTCCAAGAGCCTTCCAAGACGTCCTCCAAGAAGGCCCGAAAGGGTCAAAATGGTCTCCAAACGGCCAAGATGACCTTCAAGATGCCCACGTGTTCCCCGAAGGCTTGCCAAACCGATTCGGGGAACACATGGTCCGATAGCTTGGCAGGTCTGACCTCAACGTTCGGCCACATAGGCGCTTCCAAAAAGGCAGGGGGCGGCGGTGATTCGCCGTAGGCGTCTTCGATCCGCCGCCCCCTTTTGATTTATCAAAAGGGTGCCTGGCGGGCCGAATCCTATCGGTTTTGGTTTTGCTTCTTTCTCCCCCCCCCAACAAAAAAACTCCCCCTGGGGCTTCGGCCCGTCCCGCCGGCCACCCGGAAAGGATCTCAAGAAGCTCAATCCGGAAAAAAAACTCCAAGATGGTTCAAGATGGCCTCCAAGATGGCCACCTTGGCCCAAGAAGGCCTCCAAGATGGTCCAAGATGGCCTCCAAGTCCGCCCAAGATGGTCCAAGACGGCCTCCAAGACGGCCCAAGAGAGTCCAAGATACCTCCAAGGTCGCCCAAGAAGCCTCTAAGACGGCCCAAGACGACCCAAGAGGCCTCCAAGAGGTCCTCCAGGAGGGCCCGAAGAGGCCAAAATCATTGATTTTCCCTAGGTGTTTGACGGATTGTGGCATGTGCTTCTTCTCGGCATTCCGACGGCTCAAGACGGCCCAAGAGGCCCCAAGATCGCCCAAGAGGGCCCCAAGAGGGCCCCATGACGGCCCAAGTGGCCTCCAGGACGGCCCCAAGAGGTCCCCAAGACGGCCCAAGAGGCCTCCAACACGCCCAAGATGGCCTCCAAGACGCCCAAGATGGCCTCCAAGACAGCCCCGAAGCGCCCCAAGAGGGCTCCAAGTCGGCCCAGAAAGGCCCCCAAGACGGCTCCCGACGGCGTGAGACGTGCCAGGAACCCACCAAGATGGCCGAAGTTGGCTCGAAGCTGGCCCAAGACGGCTCAAGAGGCCCCCAAGAGGGCCTCCAGGAAGGCCAGAAGAAGCCAAAAACATTGGTTTACCATGGGTGTTTGACGGATTTTGACATTTGCTTCTTTTCGGCCTTCCGACGGACCGAGACGGCCCAAGAGCCCCCAAAGATCGCCGAAAGATCGCCCAAGAGGCCTCCAAGATGGCCCCAGAACGGCCCAAGAGGACCCCAAGACACGGCCCCAAGAGGCCCCCAAGACTGCACAAGAGGCCTTTAAGACGCCCAAAATGGCCTCCAAGACGGCCCTGGAGCATTCCAAGAGGGCCCCAAGTCGGCCCATAGAGGCCCCCCAAACGGCTTCCGACGGCAACAGACGGACCAGGAGCCCACCAAGACGGCCGAACATGGCCCTAAGATGGCCCAAGACGGCCCAAGAGGCCTCCAAGAGGGCCTCCAGAAAGGCCCGAAAAAGGTCAAAATCATTGATTTCCCATGGGTGTTTGAAGGATTGTGGCATTTGCTTTTTTTCTGCCTTCCGACGGCCCGAGACGGCCCAAGTGCCCCCAAAGATCGCCCAAGAGGCCCAAGACACAGCCCCAAGAGGCTTCCAAGACGGCCCAAGATGTCTCCAAGACGCTCAAGATGGCCTCCAAGACGGCCCAAGAGCCCTCCAGGACGTCCTCCAAGAAGGCCCGAAAGGGTCAAAATGGCCTCCAGACGGCCAAGATGACCTTCAAGATGCCCACGTGTTCCCCCAAGGCTTTCCAAACCGATTCGGGGAACACATGGTCCGATAGCTTGGCAGGTCTGGCCTCAATCTTCGGCCACATAGGCGCTTCCAAAAAGGCAGGGGGCGGCGGTGATTCGCCGTAGGCGTCTTAGATACTCAACAACCCCACCCAGCAGGCTCGCATTCACAACGATGACTCGGGCAATTGGCAGCGCTCCAAGTGGCACTCGTCGAACGGTCGGTCCGAGACACCCGCGATGGCTCCCAGACGGCCCACGACGCGTACAAGACCCCCGAAGAGGCCACCCGTGCAAGGGATGAGTGTGCCTGAGAGCCTATCTGGATGTGCCCACCCTGTGCGGGACAGAGCCCGCACTAGGAGTCGGGATGCCCCCCAAAGATGCGTGCGCCTCGGGGGCAGCGCACAGTGAGGTTAGGGGTAGAGAGATTCGGGCGTCGCCACCGGCGTGGCCTGCAACATCTTCACACCACCAAGAGGCCTCCCAAGAGAGCCCTCAGAGGCACACCCCGACAAAGCGGCGAAGCAATATGGGCCGGCGGAATGAGCGAAGCGATGAAATAAAGGAACGCCGCAGCCATTCAGGGCTGAGTCTGGCATGCGCCCAAAACCGTCGCCCTTGCGCAGCTCATAGCGACGGTGGCCGCCTCATCCCAAATTGTATTTGAAAAAATGGATGCCCTCTGAATGCTGCGGCATTCGTGTCAGCTTCATGCTAGATGGAGGGGTTGTGGTGTCACGGAGATCTGTTCTCCCGGACAGCCTGCACTGCCATCATGGGCGCATGCGCCCGCCTCATACGATCCATATAATATATTACACATGGATATTCCTCGGCCCCGCCCGTGTGCGTGGTGAGCTCCGTATGGTGGGCCCGGAGCTGAACAGCGTCGACAGACAAGTTGCGTCCCAATCAGCTTCATGAGATGTCTCGGTGGGTCGACTTCAGAATATGATGCGCGCTGTTGATTTATCCGCCGATATGTTTGAGGTGATGGCTTTGGTTATTGCTGGGCGCATGGATCTACTGAGCCTCTTGCAGACGGAGTACTTTAAAAAATGTCCCAGTACTTCCATGGGGAAGAAGACTAGGAGAAGACGGCCCTAAAGCGCCCAAAGAGGGACCCACGACTGCTCAGAGAGGCCCCCAAGACGGCCCCCCAGGAGGCGCCAAGAGGCCACCGAAGGCATCAAGACGCCCCCTATAAGGCCCCGCGGATGCCCTCAAGAGGCTCCCAGGAAGCCCCCAGGGAAAACTCTTTTGTGCCATCTATGACGGCGCTGTGCCAGACCTGCCCATGACCTGTCAGACATGTCTCCATTGTGCAATCTATGACGGCACAAGAGGACGGTACCTGATGGAGAAAACAAATCCTGCCAGATCTGGGATGTGGAGACACTGCACAAACAATGTACACAGCAGGACTATGTTTTGCATAGCTATGTCTTGAACTTGTCAAGGGCAACTACTGTTGACATGATGTTGACATGCGCGCGCGGCGGCGCGCTCATGTGCCCTCGCATCATGCATTTTGCAAGGGACTGTTACTAGAAACTCTTCTTAGATAAAAGCATGTGCGCCGCAAGCTATTAGGTCAGGGGTGATGACCGGGGATGCCCGAATTAGCTGGGAGTTGTTTCTCTGGTATGTAAGATGAACGATCGTGCATGGCAAACGTGGAAGCATCGCATGCGAAAAGGAGCCGAAACGTCTGGGGGGGATGGGTGGCCCAGTTCTTGGTTTGGAAGAAAAACAAACGTGGTGCAACTACTGGGGAGACCGATGGTTTCTATGTGTTAGTCTTTCTACATGTACATCTACACATGTAAGTTGTAAACTATGTGCTGATATTTACAAACGGGCCACGGGCGCCAATCGGGCGAAGACCTGAAAATACCAGCCACTTGCGCATCAACACAATTGCCCCTGGTGCAAGTACCGTCTAAAGAACAGATCAGAACCCGTAGCCCCGTGTTTTTTCGCCGCGTGGGGCCCTGGTGTTCTGGACCTCTCCCCCCCGACAGGCTCTCTGGAGCCTGATAACCAAGATCCGCCTAGAACTTGTTTCTGTTCAAAGCGTTGGATGTCTGGCCAGGACCCCTGGCGCAAGCATCCGGCGGCGCGCCCAGGGGGTGGGCCTTCTCGGAGGGCTCAGAAGATCTCTTGCCTTCTGAGAAAAGCTTCTCTGGCTGCTCAGAAGGCGCGAGGGCTTCTGAGAAGCCCCAACGCCTTCTGAGAAGGGCTGCCCCTCCTCAGAAGGAGGAGGAGGAGGAGGAGGAGGAGGAGGAGGAGGAGGAGGGGGAGGGGGAGGGGGAGGAGGAGGGATCCCTGGAGACCTCCAGAGCCCCCTCGCCCCGTTGTGGCCTCTTCGGCGCGTCGCCGAGCTTGGCTTCCGGATCGTTACTCTCAAGCCTCCGGGGGGCCGTCCAGGGGCGATCTGGGCACCCCTGGAGAACGCTCTCGGCGAGGCGCCAGCCGCTAGAAAACGCGCCCCGAGGCCGGGAAACCGCCGAGAGCCTACGAAAACGCCTGGGATCCTCCAATCTCGAACCCGAGACTCCAGATCCAAAGCTTCCCCTCCGTCGGCGCGTCGCCGAAACGTTGCTTGTACGGGGTGAGCTGCCCGCGGGGCGCGCCAGAAGGCCTGCGCGTGCAGCTCCGCGCGCCAGTCCGCGAGCGCCGCCCGCGCCACGGGGCCGCCTGCGTCCCACAGGGGCCGGCCAGGCCGCCCAGGCGGAGAGGGGGGACAACGGTGACAGCCCTCCCTCGTCGCATGCATTTTTCTGATAACTCCTCCCTGTCGCACCCGAGGCGTGTCGGCAGGGCGGGCTGGGCGTTCCGCCTGAGACTTCCTCACCACGTATGATCCTCAAGCTTTTCCTGTGGAACGGCTTCAACAATGGAGGGCGGGTAGTTTTCCAAACTGGAGCTCTAGCTTTAGCGCAGCGCACATTCGTTTCAAACTGTCGCAACAAGTTCAAGGATGCAGGGCGGCCCATTCTCAAAACATGGGCTCCGGGCCGACGCGCGCGCCCCCCATTCTCCTCCGCACGCTGGCAAAGACATCAATGGACCCGTGGAGCGCTCAACATGAGACTTTTGCCCACTTGGACATGTGGACAAGACACGCATGTTCGCAAACAATGTTCTGCACGACGATGCTGTCAACACGTACTTCCCCGCCAGTGAACCGAGAACCATGGAGACGAGCGTCGGCAAAGTAGTCGGCAGTAGTCGAAATAGTAGAAGCAATCGTATAGTGGTAGTAATCGTAATAATAATAGTAGTAGTCGTAGTAGTAGTAGTAGTAGTAGTAGAAGAAGTAGTAGTAGTAGTAGTAGTAGTAGTAGTAGTAGTAGTAGTAGTAGTAGTAGTAGTAGTAGTAGTAGTAGTAGTAGTAGTAGTAGTAGTAGTAGTAGTAGTAGTAGTAGTAGTAGTAGTAGTAGTAGTAGTAGTAGTAGTAGTAGTAGTAGTAGTAGTAGTAGTAGTAGTAGTAGTAGTAGTAGTAGTAGTAGTAGTAGTAATAGTAGTAGTAGTAGTAGGAGTAGTAGTAGTAGTAGTAGCAGTAGTGGTAGTGGTAGTGGTAGTGGTAGTGGTAGTGGTCGTAGTAGTAGTAGTCGTAGTAGTAGTAGTAGTAGTAGTAGTAGTAATAGTAGCTTTCGTCGTAGTCGTAGTCATAGTCGTAGTCGTAATCGAAGTAGTAGTAGTAGTAGTAGTAGTTGTTGTTGTAGTACTACTAGTAGTAGTAGTAGTAGTCGTGGTAGTAGTAGTAGTAGTAGTAGTAAAAGTAGAAGTAGTAGTCGTCGTCGTCGTCGTAGTAGTAGTAGTAGTAGTAGCAGTAGTAGTAGTAGTAGTAGTAGTGGCAATAGTCGCGACACTCGTAATAGTAGTAGTACTAGCACTAGTAGTAGTGGTAGTAATGATCACAGTAGTAAGTGTAGTAGTCGTCGTAGTACTAATGGTAGACGTAGGAGATGTCGTCGATGCGACCAGGTAGTAATAGGCAGTAGTAGGTAACCATAGTTGATGTAGGTGACCGTAGGTGGTATTAGGTCTGAGTATGAATGGTTCTAGTAAGTGTAGTACTCTTACTAATAGCAGCAGCAGCAGCAGCAGCAGCAGTAGTAGTAGTAGTAGTAATACTAATGGTAGACTTTTGTTTTACGGAAGTAGTCGTAGTAGTAGTTATCGTAGTAGCAGTAGTGGTAGTAGTAGTAACAGCAATAGAAATAGCAGTAGTAATCATAGCAGTAGTAGCAGTAGTAGTAAGGATAGTGCTAGTAGCAGTAGTAGTAGCAGGAATGCTAGTAGTAGTAGTAGTAGTAGTAGTAGTAGTAGTAGTAGTAGTAGTAGTAGTAGTAGTAGTAGTAGTATTTGTCGTGGTACTAGTAGTAGTAGCAGTAGTAGTAAAGTAGTAGTAGTAATGGAAATAGTCGTAGCCGTAGCAATAATTGTAGTAGTAGTCGTAGTCGTAGTCGTAGTCGTAGTAGTAGTAGTCGTAGTAATAAAAATAGGAGTAGTAGTAGTAGTAGTCGTAGTCGTAGTAGTAGTAGTAGTAGTAGTAGTAGTAGTAGTAGTAGTAGTAGTAGTAGTAGTAGTAGTAGTAGTAGTAGTAGTAGTAGTAGTAGTAGTAGTAGTAGTAGTAGTAGTAGTAGTAGTAGTAGTAGTAGTAGTATCAGTAGTAGTAGTAGTAGTAGTAGTAGTAGTAGTAGTCGCATTAGTGGTAATAGTTGTAATACCAGGAGGAGTCGCAGTTTTGCTGGCACCCGTAGTTGCAGTACTTCGCAAGAGTACTGGCCCTGGCCAAGCAGTGAGTCTTGAAAGGCATTCGTATTCGTACACGTCGCACTACTGAAGCTTGTAGGACCACACGTGCATAGACATAGTCGTTGGCAGTCGCACTTCGTGGTTATGGCTACTGGTAGTCGCACTTCGTCCTAGGACTTCGTTCTGGTATGGATTCCGCGTGCGAGGAGCTCGTAGAGATAGCAGATCGCCGGAATTCGTACCAGTAGTACTTCGTAGTCGTTGCTGCGCTGCGCGAGCGATAGCACGATTCCCGGGAAAGCTTTGAAACATGGCCACTTTCCGCTGAGGCGTAAATCCATCGTGTTCAGTGCGTCCGAAGGGACATCCATGCGCCGCTCGAAGCGGAAAACATGCAGCTCCGCTGCCGAACACACGAACAATTTGTTAAAACCGACCCGCTCGTGCGTTTTAACGTTGTGCTCTTCCGTGCATACGCGAGGCGTCGTCGGCGAGCGCGTGCTTCCCGAGAAACACCTCCCTCTTGATGCGATGTTGTTCTGTGCCACTAGTTTCGCAAGATTGTGTTTTTCTGTGCGAATGTGGCCCGCGCATTCTCGGCACCTTGTTGCAGCTCACCGTCCGCCCTCTTTCGGGAGCGGCCAAGAGGGGGGTGTCCAAGAGGGGGGGGTGCAAATCATGACCAGCGGCACGTGCGCGGCCCAGCGGGGGGGGGCCAGGGACGTAATGAAATAAGAAGAGGCGCCATGAAATCTGGGGAGATGTCATGGCCCCCGCCATGATATCCACCCCCCCTAGTCATCACCCCCCTCTTGTCCCCCCCCCCGACTCCTGGACATGACAGGAAGGAGGGCGGGCGCGCCCGGTGCCAGAACGTCGCTCTCGCCTTATCGCCGCGCACCCTGGTCTTACACGTTCGCAACAGTTTCAAGGATACACCACGCGAAATGGTTAAGAAATCATGGGTTAAGAAATTCATGGTCTCAGAACTCGAATTAAAACCCTAAATTTCTATCAAAATCTTAGGATTTACATTGAAATATTAAGAATAATCGAGGCTCTGGCCGAAAACTCAAGTTTTCTTAAGCATCGCCTAAGGTGTACGCGTGGGTGATGTAGGAGTGTTAGGACGCAACAGCAAGGTTGATTCTCGGCGATTGGGAACATTGTCAGATGGTTGTCTTCCAAGAGGGAGAACTTCCCGCAATGAAGATGAAATCTTGTAGGGGGGCTAAGAGGAGGGAGCTTGGAGGAAGGATTTATTCCAGTATCGTTGATGCGTCTTGGGTTTGCACAGGTCCTCGTCCCCCTCCTCCTCGTCCATCTTCCTCCTCCATCAGGCGCATCTTCGTCACAACGATCACCATCACCCTCAACACAGACATATTCACCAACACCATCGCCATCATCGCATTCATGAGCGTCATGACGGTCAACAGCATCATCAGCATCATCAGCAGCATCATCATCAGCATCATCACCACCACCATGACCATCACGATCACCATCACCATCACCATCATGGTATCATCGTCGCCATCACTATGTTTACCACAACCATCGTCACCACCAATCCTCCTCATCATCACCCCGAAAAGGCCCCCAAGAGGTCCAAAAGGGCCCCCAAGAGGCCCCACATCGGCCCCACATCGGCTCCCAAGAGGCACCAAGACTGCCTCTAAAAGGCCGCCAGAAAGACCTCCCCCGAGATCGCAACGAACATCCACTAGGCGTCATACCCACAACACAGGCACGGTGGCGGGATGGGCCGAAGGCCATACTACATAATATTATCTTTATATATAAATGTATATGAATATATGTATATATACATATATACACATATGTACACACACATCTGTGTATGTATATATATATGTGTACAGATGCACATATTCAAGTGTGCATATACCTGTACATGTATAAATATATATATATATAGAGAGAAAGAAGTGTGTGTCCATGCGTGTACATTGAGTAGGTGGACTGGGAAGAAGTAACATATTGCAAGGAAGATGGAGGACGAAGAGGAAGAGGAGCAGAAGGAACTAGACAGGCGGAAGGCGGGTGGCTGGAAAGGAATGCCTGGGAGAATGGCTGGAGGGTTAGTCCCTGCTGGGGGCCTCCCCATCCTCCCTCTCCTCCCGCATATGCTCGTCCTCCTCATAGAGCGTGCCACAACGCCTCCTCCTCATCCTCCTCCCATTTCCACTAGACCTTTTCCTCCTTCTTCCTTCCACTCCTCCTCCCCCTTCTCCCTCTCCTCCTCATCCTGCCCCCTTGCTGACGTCGGGCGGGTCGCCACCCGCGGCAAGGTCGTCCGAAATGGAGAGCTCCCCGGCGCGCCCAACGACCACGGCGACAACCTGGGGGACTGGAGGAGGCGGGAGGCGGTGGGGAAGGGGGGGCCTTAGCCTCTGGCGGCCACCGTCCCCCCAGGCTCGTGCACGTGACCCTCGCCTCGAGGACTCGCCTCTGGGACCCCTGCCCCTGACCCATCCCGTCGTGCTGTGCGAAACCTGTGGGTATGGGGCCAATAACCGACTCCTGGCGCCCCCTCCCGTCCCGGTGTGACGGGAAACCCTACCGAGCTCGGTGCCAGGATGCTCAAGCATGTTGTCCAAGGTTTGATGCCTGGGTCTACGGGACCAGCCACGGTCTTCTCAAGTCCGATGATGGGGCTCGTCCAACTCGTTTGTTCGTTCTGTGTGTGGCATACATGGGTGACCATGTTCATTGGCAGTATCCTGAGGTGGGGGCTGAAGGTCATCCTCCTACAAGCCCCCAGACGAGAATGAGCAGGCGGAGGCATCTTGGGGACTCTTGGAGTCGTCTGCGTGAACCTGTTGGGGCCTTCTGGGCGCATGTTCTGATCCGGTTGGGGGCATCGTTGGTTCTTGTCGGGGCATCTGGAGGACCTTTTGGGCCATGTTGGGGCAAGCTGTTCCGAATGCGCAATCAATCAACGTGTGTGATTCGCGAAGCTCGATGCTGATATCGTTCAGCGAGCGACTGGAATCTGCGCGCGTATTCATTCATTTATCGGCGCCCAGCTGCTTTCATCGCCCGGGCCACTCGCATGTTCGCTGCTTGGCGCGAGGACCGATTAGGAACAGCTGCGCTTTTGCGAAGTGGCACAGAGAGTGTGTGCCCGCTGTTATACATGAGCGGGTACACCTGTGGATAGCATTAAGTCAAGCATGTCCCCCCACAGGGGGATTTTGAACGGAAAATTAAACATACACCAAAAATACTCCAGAATTGTCAAAGTTAGTGAAAAACCGTCCCGTTTGACTATTTTTTACTATGTCTCCTGTAGAGGGACAGGCCCGACTTAAGGATAGCACTGAGGCCGCGGCACCCTCGAGATCTGCCGAACACGAGATGCAGGGAGGCGAGGGTCAACGCCACAGTCACACAGCGGTCTGGTGCCTGCTAGGGTGTCATGCCTCCCGCTGTACCTATAGCCAGGTGAAGCATACGCCGCAGTTAGCCATCCACGCCGACCAAGGCGGCCGAGCGTGTCAGGGGCACTGTGTATGATAGAGGGCGCGTGTGCAATGACATCGCCTAGATGCAGAACAGGTTTGATGCTTTCAGCGTCCATTCGATCCATCTGCAATGCCGGCACCCAGCTCCGCCAACAGCCCAAGCCTGGAATGGAATCACACAAATTCTTTGGGGGTGGTAGTCGGCCAGAGCGAAAGTCTTCAACGAAGGAGTTCCGATGCGCTTTCTGCAATTGCGGTGGTGTGTTCTCTAGCTCCAACAACATATCTTCGAACGACGACTGGTTTACAAACCACATCGCTGGCATGTCGTCGTACAGCGCGACGTAGAATTTTATTGGTGCGCTGTCAGCGGCAAGGCAAGCAGGCGGGAAGCCACTTTCGTCCTCAGCCCAATCATAATGATATGATCGCGGACGATGCGCCATGCCACGAGCAAAGAAAGCATGGGCACTGCGTAAAAGATGTACGGCTGGGCTGCGCAGTAGCTGTGAGGCTGTGCGACCAAGCGGGCCATACACCAAGAAGTCCAACAACGCGTCATTCTCCAACCACGCGTTTATACCAAACTCCGACCCTGCATGCGTGCAAAGAAGTTCTTCGCGAATAGCGGAAACAGCCTGCTTAGGTAAGAAACCACGAAAGATCACATAACCATGTGTGCAGAATGATGAAACCTCATGCTCAGATAAATCATGAAGCTTATACATCTCGACATTCGCGAATCTTGACATCCCAAGCCGTCGTGTCTGATTGAGCCCAAAGGCCCATGTGACGCTGGGAACGAGACACGTCTTTCTGACCCAACGAGCACCATGGATTGGACGAGGCATGGTTTAAGGCTGACATCGATCCAACATGGCTACAGACCCTTCTTGGAGCATCTCTGGGGAAACCAAAATGCACCGACACCGCTATTCCCCGGACCTCTCTCGAGGTGCGTTCTCACCAAGAGTTCGAGGCGAATTCAACGGCTGCGACGACGGCCTCCCAGGAGGCCCAAAAAGGCGAAAACGAGGGAAGGGTAGCGGTATATGTGTTTTTTCCTCCTCTGAATCTGAGGGGCTCGGAGCACATATGGAAAGTAGGCTGAAGCCTCCTGGGGGGGGGGGGGGGGGCGTCCGTGAGACGAGCGTGCGAGGCAGGGGGGATTCAACCATACCCACCGCCTGGCAACCGACGTCCAGGTGCCCCAGCGGGCAGTGGATATGGATACGCTTTTCCCCCCGGGGGGCCCGAATATGTCCACATCCACCGCCTCGGAGAATGGGCTCTGCCACCGGGTCTTCGGCGGGTGCCCCGGATCCTCCCTCCGGCGGTGTCGGGGCGGGGCGCGGCCAGAGGTCTCTTCACTCTCTCTGGCGTGTTCGGGGGGGGTCGGTGTGACGTTGACTGACGAAGACCCGCCCGAGATGCACCTTCTCGGCGGCGAGCCCGGGGGAAGTGAGAGTCGGGACGATCGAAATGGGCACGGAAAAAATCGGCACAAAGACCGACAGCAGTTCCTGTTCGTTTTGAACAGGACTCACTGTCGGTGTCGCCGCGGATGTACAGTCGGGGCGTTGACCTAAGGACCCCTAAATATGGAGCGAGGCCCCTTTTTCCATAAGTTAAACTTCGATTTCCTATCGAAGACATAAGGAAAACCTGAGGCGAGCTGTGAAACACTTAAGGAACGCGGAGCCCCTCCCCAACCAAAAGGGTTCCTTCTTCAGGGCCCCGACTGTAATCCTTTTTGGACAGAAGGCCGCTTGCCCGACTGCGGGCGCTGCTGGCTTTAGACAGCATCTGCTGTTGGACATCATGCCGATCTGTTCCGTGCCCGTTTCGGGCGTCTCAACAGAGACGGAGCGGGCCCTCTCCGAAGGCTCGGAAGTCCCCCGGCCTTCTGGGAAGGCTCGGGAACCTTCCCCGAAGACACAAGAAACTTCTCAGGAGGCGCGAGGGCCTCTGAGGAAGTCCTGGCGCCTTCTGAGAAGACCTTCTCCTTCTCATTCCGCCCTCGCTCGCCCCCGATCTTCTCCCAAGGTGATCAGCTTGCTGCTGACCGCCGCGATGTCTAGTCTGCGTCGGGTGACATGGGCACCTGGCCTGTTGCAGCAACGTGCGCAGAGAAGAAAGAGCATCTGGGACATTCGCATCAGTATTGGCAGACTGTCGACTGCGATCCAAAATCTACACTATCGCGGGCGGCAAACCTCGACTGCGAATGCGAATTGGTTTTACTACATAGGTACAAAATCGACTCGGGCGCGCCCCAACGACTCTAAACTTTACATCCGCGCGGGTGTTCCAGGAACGAACAAGCCTTCATGTTCATTCACGACCCGAGCGCTCGTCGTCCAGGCCTTGTCAGCGGCTCACATTGGATCAGACAGACAACCACTACTGCATATCGAAACGAGGGGCCGACGATTCCAGAACGATCCCGGCGACGAGCAGACGACAACAACAACAACAACAACAACAACAACAATCACTTTACCCGAACGCTCAGTGTTCTCACCAGTGCCAGGGTTTTCATGCGACGCCAGCCAATACCCCCACTTTGTGGGGGGGCAGTGCAAGCTCTACCAAATATCCACACGACTCTTCGCCACCACCCACACCCAGCTTCCCGCCCTATGACGTTCGGACACTTCACTTCGTGGCCTGCGGACGACCGTGGCTACTACACTGGCGTGGAGTACACACCCACAGAAGTTGTTAAGCCTACGTTCGTACACCCACAGAAGTTGTTAAGCCTTGTTAACCCACAGAAGTTGTTAAGCCTTCCACAGAACATCTGTTGCATATGATGCATATGGTACATGATACACATGATACACATGATACGTACTCACAAGATAGTTGATCACATCTTTAGGGCAAATTCCTGAGGGATGTGGGAATACACAAGAGAGAGAGGATATGGTTGTCCCGATGGTTGTCTCGATGGTTGTCCCGATGGTTGTCCTGATGGTTGTGGTTGTCCCGATCGTTGTCCCGATGATTGTCCCGATGGTTGTCCTGATGGTTGTGCTTGTCCCGATCGTTGTCCCGATGACTGTCCCGATGATTGTCCCGATGGTTGTCCCGATGGTTGTTCCGATGGTTGTCCCGATGGTTGTCCCGATGGTTGTGAGCGATGCCGGATCCTCACGCCCCCCGCCGGAGGAGGAGGAGGAGGAGGAGCAGGACAAGGAGGAAAGGAGAGAAGAGAGAGGAGCGCAACCTATGGCGCAACCGCAAGGGATTGTGGCCCCTGGCAGGCGCGCGAACCCCGTTGCAAGAGCGTGCGAAAGTCGGACAGCGCGCGCGGGTAGAAATTTTGAAAAGTCGTGCAGGTGTTTTTCGAGGACCTACGGTGCGATTCGTGTGATTTTATGATGCGCGGTGCTACAATTCTTAAGAAGCCCAATGGTTTTTGGAGATTTCGGCGTGCGCGCGCGAAGAAAAAACGAATGTGTCCCGCATGGTATTATTTGACAGGGATGATGGCCCTGGCAGGTGCGCAACCGTTGTCGCAGAAGTTCGAAAAAGTTGCTCGCAAAAGCCCGTTTGACAGAAATGTTTAAAAAGTGTTGGGTTTCCTACGAATCCGCAAGAGCGCGCGGGATGAGATTTTGACAATTTTTTGTTGAAAAACCATTGGTTTTTTGATGTTTTTATGTTAAAATCGCTGCGAACACTAAGGTTTTGGAAGGATTTCGTCTTGCGCGCGCGAATGTCCACTTTACCTTATTTTTTGCAAGGGATTCTTGAAATTTGATTATATTAGAACAAGAAATGTCATTTTCTATTGTTTTTTGCAAGGGAAAGCGGATTACAACAAAACAACCGGATCCTGTACACACCCTCTTTTCTGAGGCTTCCTC